TCTTTATAAAAAAAAAAAAGTATATATATCATGAACCCTAAAAAATGTGAAACAATTGTCAAAATGTTAAGAAGATAACCATTTCATTTTTCACTACTCTTACTCATTATGTTTACAAGTATATAAAAAGCTTTATTAAGTTGATATTGACCCCAATCAAGATCCATAACACTGTATTATTTTTCTATATAAAGAAGTCCTTCAATTTTCTGTGACTTATTTTTTAATCATTTTTCATCTTGATATCATTGTCAAAATTCTATAGTGTGAAGATTTTGATAATATTTTTTTTGTACATGGAGAACCAAAGATTTACCTCTTTTTAGTGTTGGTAACTAAAAAAATATTCCATGATGAGAGATGTTAATATTTGCACAAGTTACATAAAAACTTGTCTATAACGATCCGACAGGTCATACAATGACCCAACTATACCACAAAATACGTCATAATGCAATGGAAATATAAGTCGTTTATCATATGTTTATCATGCAACAAAACCTAAAAATCATGCATACACACACACACATATATATATACTTAGGATCATAGTGATCGACTGTAATCAAAATAGTAAAATAGAGTTCATGGACATCAATGTAAATAAAATTCCATCTTGAGGTTATAGTCCCAAAATATAATATACATCTGAGTAGGTACTAAAGCACCATAAAAACAAAGTCACAAGACCAATATGTCTCATAGATAATAACAATCCTAGTCACTTAGGTATTATCAACATAAACTTGGAAGGTCCAGTACCATCTTTGGGATAAAATAACTTTGGTGGTATGAGTTTACCACAACATTGGTATGTAAATCCAAGCCCCTATGGATTTAGCCCACTACCTAATCCCATGATACCACACACCTTTCCAGCACTAGGTTGGGGTGCACCTTAGGTGACCACCCACGACTTAGGTGTCAATGCAACATCCAAGTCCAAGAGACCCAAACACAACCATTCAATAGCTATTATGCAACGACTCACTATAAACCATTTTCACAACACCATTTGAACGAGAATCACATTTTCATATAAAAAAAACCTCATCTCTAAGTGGGACCACAATGTACTAAGTTTTTAGAGATCCAATCAACTAACATCTCTTGTTGAACAACTCAACAAAACATTTCAACTCATCATTCTCCTTCAAACTACCATCAATGGCATTTTAAAAGTATCATGGGTGAAGGGGTTTAAGGTTTAGGCCACACACAACTTTGTGAATTAAGGCTTAGGCCTTCCCTACATATACTCTCAACTACATGCATAAGCATACATAACTCAACTACAACCACCATAGGCTTGTGCCAACATCTAAGCACTCAACAACTCACATGTAATCTTACATACATAAACAACATAATCATCATTAATAGCTTAGGCATAATAACATTGTAACACCCCAAGTTTTCTAAAATTATTGAAAAAGATATTTTAATTGATTAAAGGATTTTATAAGATATTTTAAAAGTTTTTAATAATTATGACTATTTTAATTAAATAATAAATTTACAAAAATCATTTTGTATAATATTTATTAGAGAAATATGTATTTTTATTATAATTGTTTATATATCTTATTTTAATATATTTATGTTGGGAGAAATATAATTATTTTATATATTATATATTTATTAATTATTAATTATTGTATTTTGTTATAATTATTTGGATTGAAAGAAATATGTTTATTTGATATATTATTTATTTATTTATTTATTTATAAGTTTTAATATTTTAGGGAAAGGAGAAAACAACTATGATTAAAGTATTTTTATTAAAGGGTTAAGTGTGAGTTAAGTTTTTTAAAAAAGATTACGATAATTCTTTTCTCATTTATCATATTATGCATACGCTAAAGAATGTGAAGGAGAACACCCAGAGATCCACATTCTTCATCAATAGTTCATCATCGAAGTGGCAGGTTGAGGCTCCCATGAGGCGGGATAACTGCATATCTTTTGTTCCTATGGTGGTGGTTTGTAGTGGTAAAAGTGTTATCAGCTTCTCCAAATGAATATGTGGTATCTGGCTCCCAAGTGGGATAATACTCCTCTTGGAGTCATCAAGTTGTTGACGCATATCATAACTCTTATGCCAAAGGATCTGCATATCTACTTTGTTATATTTATGTTGACGTTCATTCTACTCTTGCAATGCTTGAATTTCTTTCTAGAGTCCCATCAACATTTGAGCATTTTTAGAAATCCAAGATTCTTTAATCGATGATTTACTCGTGTCAACCATAACTGTAGTGAATGAGACTATAAGAGAATTTAGCACGACCCCACAGTGGGAGCCAAGTGTGCTTACTAGGAAAAATATACGAGTGACATGTTTTTGGAAGACATGCAAAAAAATCTTTTGGTAGACTAAAAAAAGTGGCAAAAGACATTTCTTGAATATGCTATGACAATTGAATCAATGTTTTTCTTCTCCTTGGCACTACAAGACGAAAGATCTATTATATTATGCACCAAGTTGTGCCTACTATAACAGTTTTTGTCTCCTCAACGTTTCTCTTTGATATATAAAAAACTCATAAGATGAATTAAATATTGGAGATCATTGTAAAAAACTTGACATATTAATATAAGTGATTAACACAACAAATATTTCTAATAACTTTCTCAAATAACGTGTCTCTAAAAGATATTTAAAACTCAATATTTCTTGAGTGTTTTGGTGAAGTTCATTTACAATTGATATATCTCCACCATTTGTGAGTTAAACATGTGGAGAAAAGAGAAACACTATAAGGGGTTGAATAATGTTACTAAAAATCTTGCATTTTTTCGTAGAGTAATGAAGTAGTAGCATAACAAATAGGAAATGGTAGGTGAAACAAAGAATGAACTCAATGATTAATACTAATTTGTCTCAAATAAGACTACGTCAAGTTCTTGATTCAACTATATCAAGTTCCACTATCTTATACAAGGATACAAGTATTATTTACCAAGTCACTTTTAGCTAAAACCTAAGTATTCTTTGACTTGTCTCTTTAAACAACTATCTAAGTATTTTTTGAACACAAAACTACTATAGGTTTCAACAACCAAGTATTATGTTATAGACAAACCTCTTTAGGTTCAAACTCACAAATATTATTTTATAGTCAAGTCTCTTAAGCTCAAAGTAATATCACAAAAATAAAGTTAGGTAAGTTAACTATGTTGTTTCATCTTATTCAATAACATAATCGTCTTAAAGTAGCTTTTGTCTTATATTAGGATTCGTCTTACTAACGGATTGCATTTTAGAAGATTTGTCTTAGTCGTTTTGAAAAACTTAATATTGTTGATCAATACCTTCTTTGTTTCTTAACATCAAAACTTAAAACCGAAGGGATCTAAATTTGCCTTTTAACATAACAAAACATTTTATACACCATACCTTATTGTAAAATGCCTGAAGAGACTTTTAAGAAAAAAATACTTGGATGCTACAATCTTGAGTGTGAAAGGACAAGACATAGTTTGAAGCTAAAAAGTGGATTAATATAAAATCTTCATGTAATATCTCTGTCGTTTTCTCTATTTATCTTTTAACAATCCTATCTATTTCCAAAAGGTTGTCTTATTTTGAAAAAGTTTTCAAAGTTTTAAACACACAATTTAACTACTTTGATGTGTTCATTTTACATTTTTCATTTAGGATATGAAAAAGATAAATTAAGATAATTATCCTATCTTGTAATAAGTTATTTGCTGTGCTAATACAAAAATATTTTTACTTATCGTTTATATTATCCAATTGGTAGGTGTATTTCTTATCTCGATCAAGGGAGAGTTGGATTAGGAAAAAATATGATATGATTGAAGCTTTGTGTGTGTATATATTTAAAGAGTTAATCACCTATACATTGTCAGTGTAAAGTTTTTTTACACTAGTAACCAATTATATCTTTTAATTGTGTCATGTCACTGTAAACACATTTACTTTTAACAGTGACATGACACAATTAAAAGATATAATTAGTTGTTAGTGTAAAAAAACTTTACACCGACAATGTATAGGTGATTAACAAGACAAATTATGTAATATATAATTATATTATATAATAATGTATATTACAATATTTATAAAGAAAAATATTTGAATAATAATTATAATATAAAAATTCTTATATAATTTTATAATTTTAAGAAAAATAATTACATAAATAATTCTATATATATACACATAAAACAATAAATTCTTGAATAATAAATGTATTTTTAATTGTTTTTCTTTGGAAAAATATATTTATGAACTTTTTTATATTATCTAATTTTAAAAAATAGAAATAACACATTAAAATGCAAACATTTTTAAAAACAATCACATTCATCAAAACAAATTTAAAGAATAAGTTTCTCATTGAATAATCTTAAATATGATAAAAATATTTTTTTTCAAAAAAATTTAATAATCAATATACTTTCAAAGTATAGCCGATAAATTTAGGGAAAAATTCTAAAAATAAAATTTTATTGTTAATTCATAAAAGTAAACAAAAATATAATAATTTAAATCGACAATAATGGCTAAGCAAAAAATTTAATTTAGAACAAATGTATAAAAATTAAATATTTTGATATAAAAGATAAATTTATCTTGTAACACTGGTATTTTTTATATACTTTATGTAACTTTTTTATTCATCAGAATTATAATAACAACATTAAAATTTAAATATAAAATATTGTGGATATTATTTAAAGTTATATATTATGCTATTTGTTGTTTAGAAAAGTTATAGGATTGAAGGAACCCCCGGTGTAAGTGGTAAAGTCACATGTTAAAAAGATCTATTTTCATTAAATAATAAATAGCCCGTGCATTACTTAACAAATTTTTCAGTGTAGTATTAAATTTATTAAAATAAAATTGGGGAAGTGGATGCAAATGGGTGATATCATAGTGAGCCATTCATTTGAGAGGATGGGGATTGAGGGGGCCCACTGATATCACTATTTGTGTGTTGTATTCTATCATCTCATCGGTGGCGATTTCTATCGCTAAAGTCTAAAAATAAAAATAAAATAAGGGTTTAGTTTCCTTTCATTTCTTCTCATTCACAGTTTTTCACTTTCACACACTTCCTCTCTCTCTCTCTCTCTCTCTCTTTCTCTCCGATTCAGGTTCGAACTCTTCTAACCCCTTTCGCCGATTAGGTTTCTCTCTCAAATTCTCGAAACTACGGTCTTTCTCGCTATTCGAATCTGCGATTTCTCCTAACCTAAATCCTAAATAATTATATCTCTGCGTTTCTTTCAGCAATTTTTATTATGGCTTCAGATTCCACAAAGGATCTCCCTGCTGGTATGTGCCATCTCTTTATCTGTGTTAATAATACAGCTACCGCTATTTTTATTGAATTATTTTCCCCATCTGGTTGAAATTCAACGCTTGTTTTATTCAGCTTATTTTTCCTGAAGAGAAGAGGTATTGAAAAAAATAAGCGATTATTTTCCCTAAAACAATCTTGGCCAAACGTGTACTTAAACTTTGATCTCAATTGATGCTTATTTGTCACTGTATTTGGGATTAACGCCTTGGTCTTGTTGAATCCAAGTTACTACACGAGTTTGGTGTTTTCAAGTTACATAATTATCCTCATCTATGACTTATACCTGTGTTAATGTTAATATTTATATTGAAGTATGTATGTGAAGACAAAGAGCTGTACTTATACCCTTTATCCTTTACTTTGGGTGTACTGCACGTAGCTTCCTTTTTTATTTTTTAAAGTTAAATAACACTTTCCTAATGCTGCGATAATTTCAGAATAAATTTATTTATTAGCCTGAATTTATAACATTGATACTTCCTCGTTATTTTCGTTCCTTCTTCCATATTGCGTTGTGGGTTCCTCCTGTTTCCTTCCATCTAATTTGCCTCTGGTTCTGGAAAAAAAGTTTGGATTTGTATTTAGGCATGACAAAGAGTAAGAGATCATATTCTGGCAATGTGAAGTTTCATTATTCTATGAGTACTTGCTCTATTGAGTTTTGCTTAATGAATCCTTATGAGAACACTATTGTTGCACTTATCTTCATGGGTAAAACTGTATTACACTATATTGCCTTGAACTTTTGGAATCTGCATTTACTAACCTCTCCTTATAAAACAAGCCACGGTTTTATTTTGTTATCTGCTTACTGGTGCCTTCTTTGTTTTGATTTATTCCTAATTTGTTTTACTTTTATCCCCAATTATTTATATATATATATATTTTTTTTTCTACTTTTAGTGCTAGAAATTTAGCATAACTGCTATAGTTTCTCGAATCTCAAAAGTGCATTAGTTTCACACGTGTTGAGATTTTATTAGATAACAAAGCTGGTACAGCAGAGAATAAAACTTCCAAAGATGAAACGTCCTCTAAAGATTCTCCAGCTCCAGCAGGGCAAAGAGCTACCCCTGGACCTGCAACTGGGTTTCCTGGCAACCCTTTTGATTTCTCAGCAATGTCTGGTCTACTCAATGTAAATCATTATGTCTTTTCTTTTCTTATTTGTATTATATTGTGTTGTTTTCTGTATTTATTGATAATTAGGCCATGTTAATTGTTAATGATGTTGAGTATGTTTGCATGTACTACCTTATAGATTTTGTTGTTTTTATAAATGCTTGGTTTTACAAGTCAAGTCTCGGAGATTTTGAGTCTGTGGTTGGACAATGATGCCAGGATTTGTGAGGAAAAAAATACATTTAGAATTGTTTTAGAAATCTTCACTGTTGGCAGAATGGCAGTGAGACCTCATCAGAATTGTATTTGTCTTTTCGTTCAACTGACTCAAGAGTAGAATAGTGAGCCTTTTATGGTGGTTGTGGATGTGTAGATTGTGGCTGGTAGTTTCATTTCTTATAGCTTCCATTTTTTAATTAATCTTTAAGAAGTGTTTATTGAACTCTATTTAAAAATATAAATTTAAATGAGGTGCAATTGAGGGCTTTTGAGCTCTTTATGTGGTTTGACTTGATTCTTCTTTTCATTTTTAAACTCAAGGGAATTTTGTTTGTAAGATCTTCATAAAGGCTTACTAATGCTTAAATTTGAAATGCATAGGATCCAAGTATCAAGGAATTGGCTGAACAGATAGCAAAAGATCCATCGTTCAATCAGATGGCCGAGCAGCTTCAGAAAACTTTCCAAGGAGCTCCACAGGATGGTATCCCTAACTTTGATAATCAACAATATTTTTCAACCATGCAACAGGTTATGCAGAATCCTAATTTTATGACCATGGCTGAGCGCCTGGGTAATGCATTGATGCAGGTCACTATTACATAAATTTCTCCCTTATATTTTTTTTTTCATGAAATTTTTACTTGTTAATAGAATACAGATGGTGTCTATCACAGGATCCATCTATGTCTGCCATGCTTGAAAGTTTTTCTAATCCATCAAATAAAGACCAGCTTGAAGAAAGAATGGCACGCATCAAGGAGGATCCATCTCTGAAACATATTTTGGAGGAGATAGAGACTGGTGGTCCTGCTGCTATGATGAGGTTTAGAATCTAATAAATAATATTTTATTCACTGTTTTTGGCATTTCCATAATTCCTCCATAATATGCTGTTTTGTCAAGTAGCTTCTGAAGTGATTCTCTTTATTTCAGGTACTGGAATGATGAGGAAGTTTTGCGGAAGTTGGGGCAAGCCATGGGTCTTGCAAACTCTGGAGATGTAGCTACCTCTGCTGAAAATTCTGGGGTAGATGAGGCAGAAGATTTGGGAAATGAAGATGAATCAATTGTTCATCACACTGCTAGTGTTGGTGATGTCGAGGTGTGACATAGCACTGCTTTTTTACTTTCTTACGCCCTTAAATCTTTTCTCTTTCTGAAAAAGATCATGAGTTTTTCACTTTATGGTTGAAGACTTGGAAGTTATTCTGATGAAACTGTGAAAGATTAAATGTATAGTTATGCTTGTTGATGCAACTTGTTTATGGGTAGAATGTGCTGGTTTGGATCACATAAATTATATTAAGTTCATGGGGAATTTGAAGAAATGGAACCAAGCTTTGAGTGTAATGGCTTGTCTAATAATTGGAGTTGAAGCTGATTGATTCTGCATGAATTGTCTAACAAAGTTTATGCCTAGTTCACAGTCAAGTAAATGACTTTTCCCACTTGCCTTTTTTGGGCTGGGTTATCGAACAATTCAACCTCAGCATTTGGAAACTTTCCATTGGTATTCTTCAGAATTTGGATATCTATCAGTTTAATTTCTGGGGTACCTCTTTCCTCTAACAAACTACTTCCATATTTTCTTTTTTGGTAAAGAAAATCCTTAATTTGGCCTGTCTACCTGTATGCCCAACTGTATCCAAGTTTACCAAGTTCCTTGTTATGAAAGTGTTGACCACCTGACACCTGTATACCCAACTGTCTTTTGAGATTTGCAATTCCTTTACTATCATCACTTATGATAAGTGATAACAATGTGATCCCACGAGTACTTTAGTATTGCTAGGTTTGGTGGGTTATAAAATGAAGATCTACAGTAGTCTCCCTAATCAAATATTGAAACACACTTATTAAATTTTGGAAGTATTCTCTTGGAGTTTTTAGGCCATAAATATACCTTATCAATTGACTTAATTCCATATTCTTTGGTTATCCACTTTTTTCCATAATTTTCTGAACTGGAGTCTCTTCAGGGCCTGATCAACTGTTCATTTGTCTAATTGTCTTATAATTTAGAAGGAGATTTGGTGCCTTTCCCCTTTTGGATTGTTTTCACACAAATCCTGATCCCGATGTTTTAATTTGTTTGTTGAATAGAGCTACTTCCATTTTATAAACTCCTTTTGAAGTTTTATGAACCATCTAACACCAGATTTTATTTGGACAGCTATGCTTAGAAATAATCCTAATGACTTGTTGCAAGTTTTCCAGTCACACAAGTATCTTTTGCTGAATGTGTTTTATGTTTTATTCTTATTCAGAATTAAATTCTCCTATGTTCTGATACTATTTTAATTCAGTGCTCTTATGGAATAGATTGTCTAGCTTTTTGGGCTAAGGGTTGCCCTTGGACTTGAATAGTTTTAGTTGTTTTGGTAGAAGTAAAGTGGCTATTTTTTGTGGCAACATTCAATCTATGCTATTATTTGGTTCAGTTGGTTGGAGCATAAACCTTGTATTTGTTTTGTAAGCAGATTTTATTGGCTTTGCAGTGGTGATTTTGAAATAAGATTAGTTCATTTGCTTCTATTTGGTGCAAATCACATAGTCCTTCTAGGGTGTTTCCTTAATAAATGTGTAAAGGGATTATGTAGCTTTTAGCTCTTGATGTTATCTCTTTATTGCTGTTATTTTGTTACCAATTTCTTCTGTATGAAGAATCACTTGTCTATTGAATTTCTTTCACTTTTGAATTTCTTTTATCAATTAAAAAAATTTGTAGAACAATTGATGGAAATTGCTCATTTATTATAGCAGACAGACATGTGTAGAAAAGGTGGCTTACAATCTTTTAAATAATTTGTACATGAATTTCTTTTTAAATTTATGGAAATTAGCCATTTATTATAGCAGACACAGGCATTGACAGGTTTTGTATACGCCTATACAAGAGTTTAGTTCTTATCTTTTGTTAAATTTGAAGGAATAGAAAATTAAACAGAATTCAAATAGTTTATTTATGAAGGGTTTACTTGGTTGCTAAGCTATCTAGTTATGTGGTTAAATTCAGCCATTTTATTTATTGTCATTGGGTATGATTTGTAATATGAGATCTAAAAGTCTACACAAATCAATTAGGGCTTGAAAAATGCACTAGCCTCTGGTGCTGACAAGGATGAAGAAGATTCAGAGGGGAGAACTGCTTTGCATTTTGCCTGTGGATATGGCGAGGTATGCTAATATTTGAAGTAATTATTTTCTCATCTTTTAAATCACGTTTTTTATCTCTTAGAATTTTTGCTTATGTTCTTGGGTGGTGGTTACCTTGTTTAAAACCATGGTGGAAAGGAAATGAAGGATGTATTGAGGCTCCGGGTGTTATTTAGTAAAATGCTGTAGCCTTTATTGGTTTCTTCCACCACTTGGGTAATGAAGGGTTGTCAAACATGTTAAAATGTGAGAATCAATTTCTAAACAATTGCTGAAATTTGTCGTGAGTATGGGATGGGTGTGTTGACATAACCATTAGAATGCAATTGAAATTTCCAACTGTCTGATATTTCTTTGGGTAATGGAGAACCTTTCTGCACTTGTCTATTCTAGTAAAGAAAAAAACAGAAAATGACTGAATTGAGAATTGAATCGGTTGCAAATTAGAGAGAAAATAGCAAAGAGGGATGCTGTTGGAATGAGGAGATGAAGCACAAGTTGATGGTGCTATATGCAAGGCTAGTTTGGAATCATATTCCTATTATTTTTTTCTTTGGGAGGCAGGTCGTCTCTAGGTGAATAATCTACTTTGAGATCTTGGTTAATAACAGGTGTGTTCTTACACCTTGGACTTCAGAGCAATTTTTCATGTGCTAACAATTTTGAAAATTGACGAGTGTAACCCTTGTAGCTTTACATCATTCTCTGATGGATCTGGTGTGAAAATCTTGTCTGTTTTTTCTGTCATACCAATTAAATATTGATATTGATAACTCAGCGAAAAATTGCCAACTGAGATATTACTTTTTGCTTGGTTATCAGTATTTTATTAGGGAGTGTGAACAAGAAAATGAAAATAAGATTTGAGTCCATCTGGTTTGCAGAATGCTTGCAATTCCAGAGGCATTTATTTACCCTTTATTATTTTATGTTATGGGATAGCCTCTATTTGTCATTTATGCGCAGTTATAACAAGAAGAGTTCTCTAACACAAGTAATGGATTTTGACAGTTTCCTTTAATATTTAAAGGACCAGGTTATCAGCTTCCCTTGTAATTTTCCATTAGTTGGGATCAGATATATGGATTAAAAAATGTCATTTTATTTTATATATCAAATGGAAAAATAAGTTTGGGTATGGTTCAATCAATGTATATTCATGTCATGAAGAACCCTGATGCTAACAAGTGTTAAGTGGGGTGGTACATTTGAAGTTTTTTAGATAATGTTCGGATTCCACCCACTGAAAAGTCTGAGATTTGAATCCATTTAGGGAAGAGTGGATAATAGTGGTTGTAGGCTTGTAATGACATTGGCAGCAATGGCACTGGTGGTAATATAGGTGGTAGTAGTGGTGGAGATTAGCGACAGTGTCGGTGATGAATGGATAATGCTATTTGGATTCTACCTTCTTTTCCATGGTGTGCAAGCAAAGTGAATGCTCATCAGGAATTATAATTTTAGAACTAGACTCTTTCTAATACCTGATTGACAGAGGCCCTCTTGATATCATTTCAGGTGAAGTGTGCTCAAATTCTTCTCGAGGCTGGAGCAAAAGTGGATGCTTTGGATAAGAACAAGAACACTGCTCTCCATTATGCAGCTGGTTATGGCAGAAAGGATTGCGTGGCCCTTCTCCTTGAAAATGGTGCTGCAGTGTAAGTAGTCTTTTCAACGAGTTTTGAAAACCTCCAAATATTAATGCCAGATGCTTACAAAACAATTTAGTTTTTTTTTTTTTTTTTGCATAATTAGTTTTAATCATATATTTCTCCTTTTCCCCTTGTTCAATTTGCAGTACACTCCAGAATATGGACGGGAAAACTCCTATCGATGTTGCGAAGCTAAACAATCAAAATGATGTCCTGAAGCTACTCGAGAAAGATGCATTTCTGTAGTTTTAATGCATGCTGTCACCGACAAGCAACGGGGAAACTGAGGGAAAGAAGGCATCATAACTTCTTTATTTTCTCTTTTAGTTTCTTCCAACCGTCGTTTAGTGTGTTAAACTAAATTCGATTAACGTTGTTGGATGTGAGTCACCATAGAATTTGTTATCTATGTTCTTTTAATGCATTGATTGTTACATTGCATGATTTTGAAGATTAGTGCTGTCATTTGATTTTATTTTTTTTCAATTTTACAAAATTCTGGTTCAAGTGGTCTCATACATCAATAGAAGGCGAGTAAATAACGGGTTAGGTTGGAAGATTTTGATCCAAGGGACTAAATTGCTACAACTGCGTCTCTGCTTACCCCCCTTCATTATCGGATGCCCAAACGTGTTGTGCTCATCCAACTTACTATTTGTTTTGGTGTGTTTACATGTATGAGTATCATGAGCATAATTTAACTAAAGTCGGACACTTTAGTTCGGTTTATTTATGATTGTTTAGGTAGAACACATTCTACCCGATCCAATCAAACTTTTTTTTTTTCTTTTTTTTTTCGGGTTAGGTATCGGAATTTTGATATTGAAAACTCAAATAAACTCGCTGACATTATAAATTTGAATTTATTTTATTTTAGATTAGGATAAATCTGTTTTTGGTCTCTCAAATTTAAAATTGTTGTTTTTAGTCTCTGTAATTTCAAAAAATCTTATTTTAGTCATTATATTCAAATTTTGTTAAGAAATTTATTAAATATTATTGCATAAAATCTATCTATTGGTATTTTTATTAGTGAAAATATCACATTAAATTTGATTAATACTGTATAACTGTCTTAATTAGTCACTTTTAAATATGTTATTAGTGATCTAAGGGACTAAAACAAGATTTTTAAAAATTACAGGGACTAAAAACAATAATTTTAAATTTGAAGGACTAAAAACAAATTTGTCTTAAATTTGAGGGATTAAAAACATATTTAAGCCTTATATATATATATGTATATATATATGTATATATATATGTGCTCGTATTCATAGGTTTCTGTATGTATTTGTAAAATATTTTTTTTTATTCATCGGAATTACAAAGCCAGTACCTGACTATACCTCAAGCCCCCACCACCACTAGAGATATTTGTTAAAATGTTAAATTTAAAATAAAAAGATGAGAAATAAAATAAAACTAAAAACAAATAATTTTAAAACATATATTTATATTAAAAAAAATAATTTTGTAGCATATTTTTGTACTAAAAATAAATAATCACGACACATATATTGATGGTAAAAATAAGCTAAACCAAATTACTTTATATGTATAATTAAAAATATTTTAATATTAAAGTGAGAGTATGTGTATCATACTATTTTTGTCCATCCCATTACTAAGCAGTATTCATTTACAATGTTTTATTAGTACTGGTACAATTTTTTTTCCCATCCATGAGAGAATATTGATAATCCGTAATCCAGAAAACGAGAGTTCTACTCTCCGGTAGATTATTATTATTATTATCTGTAGTAGTTGTAATTGGTTTATTTTTTTAAGTAATTCTCCTTCTTGTCATTTGTGTGGTAAGTGACTGATGAAATCTTTAGCTATTAGTTCTTATGCTTCTCACGTAAGTTGAGGTTGTTATGTTTGTGTGTTTTTTTTTTTTTTTT